CCCTAAAACCCTAAACCCTAAATCGCCCCCAAAAAGCAGAAAGCTTCAGCCACTAGGCCACCCTGGGCCTCGGCACGGCCGCCGAGCCGAGCCGGGCTTTTGGGGAGGATCCCTCGGATTGGTTCGGCTCCTTGGGTACCAAGGACTTCAGTGCTTTGGGGTTTAGACTTCAGTGTTTTGGGGTTTAGGGTTTAGGGTACCAAGGACTTCAGTATTCTTAGGGTTTAGGGTTTTAGGGTTTTAGGGTTTTAGGGTTTTAGGGTTTTAGGGTTTTAGGGTTGTAGGGTTTTACGGCTTCAGGGTTTAGAGGGTTTTAGGCTTTCAGGGTTTAGGGTTTTAGGGTTTTTAGGGTTTCAGTGTTAGTAACCAAGAGGTTGTGTTAGAGGTTCTTTTTTTAAATTATGGTTCTAAGGGCACTTAACAGGAGGCAGAAAGGGGTCGAGGCTTTAGGGTTTATCAGGGCTTCGGGGGTGCGGTTTTTGGTTTTGGGATTCGGGTCTGCGGGCCTTTTTCGAAGTGATTGGGGTTCTAAAGCGGGTTTCAGAGGTTTGTTGGTTTTTTGGGGGTTGAAGACCCGTTTGACGGTTTGGGTTTCACTTTGAAAGGGTTGGGGCGCGATGACATTGGAACTGGGTTTTGCGCTTACTTGCTCTTTCCGGCTCTGCTTGCTTGAAGGAGGGTAGTTCTCTAAATACGGCTCCCTTTTTAGGTCCCCGACATGGTACGGCACCCTCGGCAAAAGGACCCTAAAAAGGGACCCTAGTTTAGAGAACTACACAAAAGCGGGTATTGAGGGGGGTTTCTAGGAGAGAAGTTCAGGCTCCAGGGTTCTCAAGCTCTTGGCAGGCCCGGGAACCCGAAACCCTGAACCCGAAACCCTGAACTGAACCCTAACCCCTTAACCCTCAATCTTAATTCCCTAAAAGGAGCGGCGAAAATGCGTGCGCACTAGCATGCACGGCCCCATCGAGAAAGCCTGAATTCCCCAAACCCTGAAGCCTAGTTCACAAACTCTGGCAAAGGGCTTGATGGCTTTCATGAGCTGTCCTGAGGTTCGGAGTTGGGCGTTCTGGGTCGTTCAGAGGCTCTGTGGGTTTAGGGGTTTAGGGGTTTAGGGCTTAAGGGTGTTTCAGATGTCTAGGTCCTAGATCTTGTGCTTGAGACCCCCCTGGACTCCCACCCAAGGCTACTATAGCGATCCGAACCACCCAGGCCGCAGGGAGTGCCCTGTGAGTTCTGAAGGGTTTAGGGTTTAGGGCTTCAGAAGGGCTCAGGGTTGTCCCCCTCATTCCTGCACGAGTGCTGCCAGGTCAGAAGAGCTTCTGGTGATTCGCAGACTGTGCTGGCCTCATGCTGCATCTGCTCAAGTTTTGAAGGGAATAGCTTAGCTTTTAAGCATGGCGCTCGGGGACGTGTCGTTCTGCTACTGCTTATCCGGGGCAGAACCGGTGCCTGTTTGTGGTTGGGTGGTTGATTGCCCAGACGACGAAGTGGTGCTTGGCACATCGCAGGAGCTCACCCAGTTAGAGAATAGTGCTGTCGGGAAGGCTGGAGAGGTGGCCGTACGGTTTGTGCGAGTGCCTGCTTCAGCTGTCACAGAGGCGGCTCCAGCTTCGTGGAAGGGTTTGAAGGCGAAAGATATCCCCTCCTACAAGGCTTGTGTGACAGCATGGGCGAAAGTGAAGGGAACCGATCTGGGGAGCAGCGATGCCGAACTGCCTCGAAGGGCAAAGGCCTCTCGGGCCCAACCACGGCGAGCCACTCTCAACGAGGACCTCGAGAAGCTTCGCCGCCTTTACGCCGCCGAGGAGGACGAAGAGGACACCGACGAGGAGGGGGATTTCGAGGAAGATCTTCCTTCAGGCCGGGCGCGGGCTTCCAGCAGTTTCTTGCCTCCGGGGGGCCGGGAGCGGGTCTCGAAGAAAGGCCCGAGCAAGCAGCGGGAGGACAGCCCCGACCTTCGCAAGGCCTTGGTGAAAGGACTCGCCTCGGGCCAGTCGCCCTCCGACCTCATGCCGGCGATGATGATGGCCCTCCTGCTCGACAAGGACCGCAGCAAGGATCGCAAGAAGAGCCACGAGGACCGCGACGACCTCGGTATCCTTGGTGGCTCCGACGATTCGGGCATCGAGGGCGACTCCAAGTCCAAAGGCGTGCGGGCTGTGGCGAGCTTGAACAAGCTCCACAAGCAGATCCAGTCGAAGCCCCGGCGAATTTGCGAGCTCTTCGAGAAGGAGGTCATCGAGGACTTGGGGATAGTGTGGGGCCAGGCTTGGACAGTGAAGGACTACGTTCGCAAGCAACATTGGGGCAAGTTCAAGGGGATCTTCAGGTGTGCGATGATGGACGTGGCTGTCTACGAGTACCTGAGGAACAATCAGCCGGAGATTGCCGCGGCGCAGGTGGTGCAGAATCTCAAGGCCAAGATGCAAAGCGTGTTGGCCGGGGGCGATTGGTCGGCTGCTTGGCTTCTCACGGGCTTGGCGGACCCGATCGCCAAGCGGGAGTTCGGCGGCAGCAAGGAGGAGATGGCCGTGGTATCAGGATACGCCGAAGCACTAACGAAACTCCAGAAGCGAGTCAAGGAGGTGCAGAGCAGCCGGAGCCACGGCGACGAGGAGGAGGAGCCCCACAGGGGGCCCCGAAAGTGAGTTCCCTTCGAGACGTGCATGTCAAGCCGGGCGGTGCGGTGCAACATCCCATCCTGGCTTCCCGAACTTTGAATTCAAGCTTTTATGATTATTTTGTGTGGTTTTCGGGCGTCCAAGGTCTTAGGCTGGAGCGGTCTGGCACCGATATTCCGCTTTTTCCATGCATGCTGCCCTATCCGGAAGCCGTGGTCACTGAAGGTGAGGCGATGGAGGAAGGCCAGGTGTGTGAGTGGTGGTCCAAAGCTTTCGTTAACACGTTTTTGGCTTGGGGCAACTTTGTCACCCTTGGCTGCCCGCGTCCCGGGGGCAGCGCGTATGAGCCGCGAGTGGGCTATTTGAGCATGGAGGGCATTCGGGCTGCTGACAAGCTCCTTGGCGAGGTACGTGAATTCGTTTGTTTGGATCTGGTACTAGGTCGGCTTTCTTGTGATGGCAAGAAGGGGGCGATAGACGCTTTGATCTCGAAGGTCCAATGTACAGTTGGTGCAAGTTATTTCAAGCAGTTTGGACAGGTTGATGGTGGTGTGGTGGGCAGTGCTTTGCCTGTTTCGGCCGCGCGGGTGGCCATCCCAAAGAAGGCGGGTACAGTGGATCCGTGTGATTGGCTAGATCCCGAAAAAGCCCAAACCCTACAACACCTCGAAGAGTACCGTTTGCCAGAGCATTTGTGGTCTGATGTGGTTCGAGCTTGCCACCGGGTGCCGCCGGAGGAGGAATCTTTGTTGGCACGCCGGCTCCTGGAAGCCGACATGGCGACCCTTGTTCCAGAGCGGGAGCTTCCACGCAATCGGGCGGGGGAGTTGGTGCCGGGAGGGCTGTTCTGTGTGGCCAAAAACCAGACGGAAGATCGCCTGATATTCGACAGGCGACCCGAGAACAGCACGATGGAGCGACTGAGGTGGGCCCGGCTGCGGGATCTTGTTTCTGCCGTATGCTTCTCCGAAGTGATCAGCTTGTGCGGGGCTCTGGGGATGATTTGCGGACTTACTACTACATGCTGAAGTTGCCGGATAACTGGGTTAGGTATAATGCCGTGGGCCGCCAGGTGGATCGTGCACTCGTGGCCGAGTTTGGCGGTGACCCCAATATATCATACCGTTTGTGTTTCCGGGTATTAGGCATGGGGGACCTTAACGCTTGCGATGTGGCCCAGGCTGTGCATGAAGCTGTGCTATGCAAGCACGGCGTCCTGGACCCAGCTCATACCTTGCACTACGGAGAGCATGTACCAGACAGTGATTTGTGGGAGGGCGCGTATTTAGATGACCTGCTGATTGCCCAGAAGATCACCTTGCCCTATGACATCCCCCTAGACGGCAGCTTCGAGCCCCCCGCCGCCCAGGTCGACGACAAGGACTTCCAGCAGGTGACCGCAGCAGAGGGCGCTTACAAGGCCGCGGGATTGGAGAGAGCAGTTCATAAAGTGCTGCGGGGGCGGAGGTGGACGGGATTCAAGGGCACGTGAGCACTCCGCTCGACGTGCGCCGCCAAGTGTGGATGCTCCTGATGAAGATCGTAACGGGTGGGTGGTGTTCGCGTGAGGTGCTGCAGAAAGTCATCGGCTATCTCGCCTTCATTTTCCAGTACCGCCGAGAGTTTTACAGCCTGCAACATCACGTGTATCGTTACCTTGACCGCATGCCGCCTGGGAAGTGGGTGCCACTGCCAGGTTATTTCCTCGACGAGTTGGGGAGCTGCTCGTTGCACTTACCTTTTGCGAGGTGGGATATGCGCCGGGCGATTCACTCCAGCTTGTTGGCAACTGATGCAACACCGAGTTCAGGAGGGGCCGTCGAGGCTCCGATTACTGAGGAGTTGGCCCGGGCCTTGTGGAAGCATGCCGAGCTCAAGGGTGGTGCCGTGCGATTGGACAACCCAGGTGCTTTGGAGCCCTTGGCCTTTCGACCCGAGGAGGCTTCTCGGTTTGCGAGCTCGGTGGCTCTGTGTCTCCCGTGGCGTGTTGTAAGCAGCTACCACTTCCGGGAAACCAGTCACATCAACCTTCAGGAGGCGCGTGCTTTGCGGAAGGAGGTTGTCCGTCTGGCCGCGAACCCAGCCAGCTATAACACAGTGATCCTTGCCCTGAATGACTCGAGAGTGGTGATTGGAGCCTTTGCCAAGGGTCGTAGCAGCAGCCGAAAGTTGAACGGAAT